TTTCATTGGGCATTATTTATAAATCGGCAGACCCATACAATAAAAGTAAGAAAGTAATATTGCTTAAAGCTGTCTCATTCACCAGTCCACTGAACAGAACTCATTAGATTCAAATGATGAAGATATAATCATGTGCTGAAATTAAAGTATTTGTTCAGCTGCCATTTATGAATAGGATTTCCACATTATCTGATATAAGAACTGCAGCTTAGAGCATTCCGTATTACTGTACACACTACAGAGTCAGATATCCATGCTTGTATTAATCTTAAACTCTATTTTTTATCCCCCTCCCTCAAAACTGTTGCCCAGAAAAGTTCTCCAATTGCTGTTCTTCACAAACAAATCAACACCAACGTTGCTCGTGTTTTTACTACAGTCATTATTTATATAATCAACACAGTGCAGCTACCATTGCTGGTTCAGAATATGCGTGTCACGTTACCAAATGCTATTTCCTGAGATCTTACGGTTTGGTTTATTCGTGAAAGTCACTTTTCCAGTAAATGGTGTCAACCTTCATCAATCATCTGTTGCAGATTTGGGTAGATTAGAGTTTAGCCTATGTATGATTACAACGGGGAAAGGACATGACTTGTGGTCTTTGTGGTCCGTTTCCTAAAGTATGTGAAACATCGAAAATCCGATAAAAAGTTTCTGCCGAATTGTCTATAATTTCAAATGACAAAAAAAATCAGTTATGCGCCTGCCTTCTGGTGTGATGCAAGGTAGGACTGTATATGCTGTGATTCTAAAGACGCTGATAATGTGCAGGCCCATGTCCGAAGAAGAATATTTGCAGTCTGCATAGACACAAGGGCATCATCTAACTTTCTCGATAAAAAACGTGATATTTGTCGAAACAGCGAAGCCTAAAATTGAGCGTAAGGCAGTGTACAAGAAACTCAAGAAGAGAAAAGCAACTGAAGCTTAAGTCAGTGTTCCTAAAGATGCATACGAATGTTTCTAAGTTTGATGCCACAATACTTTAATATGAAAGGAGCATAACTAAAGTGATGCGATGACGAATATGGGCCATGCCCCGCAGTCAAAGAAATTATGAATGGTACCGAGTTATTATTTAAGTCTCGATAGTTTTCATTTAAATTGTTAAATATCTCAGGGTTTGTATACATTGAACTCGAAACTGATTATAATAAATATCCAGATATAAATTATGTAATGAGCGACGTACAATACAGAATTCCAAATGGAGAGGGGCTCATTATAAAAAGAGAAAGAAAGAAAGAAACTTTCTAAGGCGCTTTTGCTTATATTCTGGCTAAAAGGCACTTTCGATATGAAGACGAAGAACAGAATGCATTTGAATAATTTAGCATTAAGTAAAAATGAATTCAAATTCCATATGATTATCATTAGATAATGTCTTGGCAAAAAGATTTTGATACTGAACTTTGCTGCTAGGTATGTTTTATCATTCAAGGACATCGTCCCTTGTCATTACTGTTACTGTCACAGTGAAAAATATTGTTAAGTAATCACTTGCAAGAGTTTTTTTTTAAGCTGTACAACAAACAATTTACTAGGAGTTTCACTTAGTAGATTTACAAACATTAATTTGGCTAATATTCATTGAAGAGTAATATAAATTTGTATGCTTTCGACCTTTCTGAGTTGGTCTCATTTGTCGCAGATACTTCATATCATAACAGGACTAAGTAGTTCAGTGTTTGCTGATGTTTTCAAGTATAAAGGCATCTAAGCTGTGTTTTGCTCATCCCCAGACATTCTACGTTGAAATCTCCGAATATTGTTTCTGTTCATATGTCAGGCAAACCATCATTTCATTCGGGAAAGTACGATTCATTCACTAATTATTAAATTCAACATATATATACGAGAAGGCCGTAATTACAACGTGCTTCTTAACGAGTGACTGTATAAACTGGCTTCTTTGATGCGCCAGTGCTGTTCATTGGAAAGCTGTTGAAACTAAACAAGTGATAATGATAATGCTCGGAATCCAAGCGCTTACGAAACACTTAAGTGAAATTATGTATCTAGTAATAATTTCTGAATGGCATAATAGTGGTATCCTATAACAAAGCTGTCAGCAATTTTGAATGAACTTGCCTTTTTCTCAAACACGACGACCAGACGTGAGAGGCGGGAAAAGAGATACTTTGAAACTGCCCACGTGTTTCTGATTTACACAAGGTTCTCGCCAGCTGAATGACCGTTGTAGGTCTAATGGAAGCCTTGTGCAGACTGATGCCTATGGCAGAATGCCTCATGTCCCTTGTCATACCGACGGGTTTAGTGATTGTTGAAAGACAGGGCAACCAACTTGCAACGGCGCCAACGGGAGCCCACAAGACGGCGAGATTGGCTGGAAGAAGACCGCGTGATCCACCGCTACACCACAGGAAAGCGGGTAGGATTTTTCGTTTGGGTTTCAAAACCTCTTGGAATCTCGCTCCGCATCCCGATCAGCGGAGGAAGTGTGGAATAATATACGCGATACGATTTAAGACGCCAGGGTAGCCTTTGCTGATTATACCACAAAAGCGCTGTCTATAAATTTCCCGCTCGAGCGCGCGCGAATGAATAGATAATATAACTACATATATATGTGTGTAATACACACACACATACACACACACACACACACACACACACACACACACACACACACACACACACACACACACACACACACACACACACACACACGCACCCACACACACACACACACACACACACGCACCCACACACACACATACATGTACATATACACACACATATACACAAGCACGCACACACATGCACACACACACATATAATATATATATATATATATATATATATATATATATACATACATATATATACGTATATATATACATATACATACATACATATATATATATATATATATATATATATATATATATATATATATATATAGATAGATAGATAGATAGATAGATATAGATATAGATATACACGTATATATATACATATACATACATACATATATATATATATATATATATATATATATATATATATATATATATACATATATATATATATATATATATATATATATATATATATATATATAGATATATATATAGATATAGATATACACGTATATATATACATATACATATATATATATATATATATATATATATATATATATATATATATATATATATATATATATATATATATATATATGTATATGTATATTTACACACGTATATATATACATATACATATATACACATTTTCCCTTCTAACGATTTTTTATTTTCTGTTTAGAAAATAAGCATCGCATTCTAATTAATACCTATACCGTAGCAAATTTATGTAATACAAACATCAGATGTACAACTGTAAGCTTTTATCGTATGCCAAGAAAATCTGCGGCTTCGGAAGTTTCAGATTCTTCCTGGAAAGAATATAGATAAATTACCTCTATCTCAACGTAGACTAATATAACTACGCTTCCATCCACATAAGCCAACTCCTCCCTCTAATGTATTTATCTCTTGTTTTTTTTTTTTTTTTTTTTTGCAATTTTCATTCATATATCTTTTTTATAGTGTTTTGTTACAAAAGCTATTCAGCGATATCATCTAAAGTAAATAGTGCCTTTTACTTTGTTTTAGACAAAATAAAACACCTTCGTTTTTCAATTATACATTCCTTCTTCATGAAATTCCCACTACTTCCAAACTGGATGGCACTTTAGTGATTTGATTTGATTGGCGGGATTCAAAAGTGCATAAAAAACATACTGGGAATCTTGCAGCTACTTCATTTATGTAGAAGACAGTGCTATTGTTCGTTCACGAAGAACCACAAATCTATATATAAAAAAGCGTGTGGTATGACAACTCCAAGCATGAAGATACAGGGTGGTGTAATTCCATAGCCTTTCACGTAAAAAATAAATAGATAATAAAAAGCAAGTAACGTGAGTGGAGACATATGACCATCATGTATATATGTGGTGCAAGGGGAACATCCCACTTGTAGGGGAAGCTTAATCAATCAATCAGCGGGAGCTAACGCCGGCGTGGGCGTATAGCTGCATCAGCCCTTCGTTTTTGTGCTCGAGGATCCCTTATGATGAGCCTTGGCCCAAGGTCTATATAATTACTTATATAGACCTTGCCTTAGCCCATCTGTACCTCCTCACGACAGGTCTTATACGACTTCCTGGGTCGTCCCACAGGGGTCCTCCACCCGGAGTTGTTTCGAACAGAGGCAACCTGGCGAACAGGATCGTCTTGGTGGAAGCGAGCCAGATGCAAGTATAGCTTGAGTTGGCGGTCCCGGATTGTGCGGGTAATAGGTCCTGTGCAGGTCTCACTGCACAATTCCATCTTAATTAATTATTGAGATAACGCCACCTGTGCCCCATGATCTGACGCAAGGACTTGA